GGGGGGGGGGGGGGGGGGGGGGGGGGGGGGGGGGGGGGTGCGCCGAGGGGGGCCACCAACACACAGCGGGACCACTTAAGGAGGATGCTTTTATCACCTTGTGAAGTCGACCACCCCCCTGACACGAAGTTAAGTTAGTTAACAAATAATTAAAAATAAAATTATAAATGAAAAAAAAAAAAAAACTTGAAATCGGAGAGTCACTGCATCGTGGGGCTTCCAACAGTAACAGGCAACACAAGGGGTTATAGAATGAACACGAAACTTTTTTTTTTTTTTTTTTTGTTTTTTGTTTTCTCTTCCGTAAATGAAAGTCCGGGAGGGTGTAACAGAGCAAAAATTTGAAAAAACTATACCTCGGCATTTATCAAGATCTTTGACAGGGAACAGTCTGTCAAGTTCGTTGACGTCAGCAGACAGTCGATCGGCTTCCCTTACGTCGACCCGCTGCCGTGTCAGCCATCGGTCTTCTTGGCGAAGGTGTGCGGTGTCCTCCAAGAATTTCTTCCCTCCAATGCGTTTCTCGGGACTACCACCACTACAAGGAGGAAACGCAAGCTCCTGCCAAAACTTACGCTTGGATACGTGCTCCTGCTGATTGCTGACGTCGGAGTTGTGCAGACACCTGAAAATCTAAAATATCACAAAAGAGGTCAAAAGAACAGGGGATGCAAAGTTCGGATGTTCCGCAGACGTCAGACTTGAAAAAAAAAAAAAAAAGAAAAAAAAAAGACTTAGTAAGCGTAATGACAGACACGTACACACCCCTGCACTGCATGCACAATTGCAAAAGAGTCCTTTTCTGGAGGCATGGAGTTTTCAAGTCTGATGTGGAGTTTTCTGGAGAGGGGGCATATACTTCCGAAGAATTCAGAGACAATCCGGCGGGGTGGCGCTGCCAGCATAGATCTGACGCAGGGACACGTGCGATCGTGAACAAGCAGAAGAGAATCGGCGCACTTGTATACACCAAGTCGTATACACAAGAGAGAAGTCTGTCAATTCACACACGAAGAAAGAGATTATAGATGTAAGAAAGATCCAAACTTTCTGGAGGTTTCAACAAAAAAAAGAGGGAGGAGAGATGTCTGCAGACAAGAAAGCAACCGAATACTTCACTCCGTAAAGCTTACAGACATTCATGTATACGATTCTTATTTAAAGTCCATTGGGGCATCCATTAAAATTGGAACGATACAGAGAAGATTAGCATGGCCCCTGCACAAGCGACACACACATACAACAACAACAACAAAAAAAAAAAAAAAAAAAAAAAAAAAAAAAAAAAAAAAA